TATTTAAAAAATATATAATCTACTCTAGAAAGCACGACGCAGAGTTGAGAGTATTATTCACATCCAGAATGAGGAATGGTGGCAGCACAGGGTGCAGGCTGCGGACTGACCCAGGGGCTCCCCAGGTCGGGGCAGTAAGGGGCCCGGGTCTTACTGAGGTGGGGGTTCATCGGGGAGGGGCAGGTCCTGGAGCAGCAAGACCCTGACCTGCCTGCGGCGAGCTGGATCTCCAGGTGGTGCAGGAAGACAGATTTGCTGAACTCAAAATCTACCCGGAAAGCCACCTGCAAAGGAAGGAGTTGTTGGAGCTGGGGGCTGGGAACCGAGCTGCTCACACGGGCCTGGCCTACCCCCAGCCCTCTGGTACTGGGAGAAGCGGGGCTCTGGCGGCAGCGGAGTGGGGTGGGAAGGGGGGGGCGAGTGCTGGAGCACTGTGAGGGGAGCTTGGGGGTGGTGGAGGGGACAGAGCCAAAGACAACAGCTCCTCGAGGGGCTTTCTTGGCCGGGGGCCAGACTGCCTCCCTCTCTTCATTCCTTTTTAACTAGAAGGCGACAAATCCAACTTCAGACTCTGCAGGGGTCTGGGTGGGGGCTCCGGGCTGTCACTGTGATCCACAGGGTGTAGGGGCCAGAGTGAGTGGACACACAGTCTCAGCCACCGCTCTCTAGTGTGTGTTGTGGGGGGAGGCATGGAAGAGCCACCCTGGGTCCCCCTATTCCCGAGTGCTACATCCTGATGCTACCCTTGGCCTGTCCAGTCCCCGAATGTGGCCCTGTGACATCTGCCCTGGGCACAGACCTTTGTGTGCTCCCAGGTCTGACCTTCATGGACTTTCCCACAGAGACCCCAGAGCCCAGGGGGCCGAGGGGAGGGGCGGAGAAGCTGTGAGGGTCTGCCAGTGTCTTACCCTGACAACTACAGTCTTGACTTGTGTTCCCCTGGGGAAGACGTTCATCCTTTGACAGGAGCCCACTCTGCCTCTCCCCTGGCCTCCCCCACCACAACACCCCCAGCCTTGCAGTCCCTGTTCCTGGGAACCCACGGCTACTCTCCTGCTGCTCCTGCCCCAAGCTCCCTTCTTGCTCCTACTTCACAAACAGCCCGGTCTCAGTTATGTTTTCTCTTGCTCTAGAACTCTCAATGGCTCCCTATTGCCCCTGGGGTGATTTCCTGGCTAGTTTGCTTCCCCATTCACAAGTCTTACATGTGCTTCACTTGTATTTTTAAACTCATGTAGATGCTCAAGAAACACAGTTTCCTTCTCATCCCCCCCCCCCACACACAGCACAGAGGCTGGGCATTTACAGACTCTCCAGGACAAAGGACAGTGGGACAGTGGTGGGAAGGAAGTGGTAGGCTTGCTCCCCAGGTGGAGGGGAACTACTGGACACTGTGCCAGATGGGCAGTCAGCCCCGGGAAGGCCGGCTCAGCAGGTCATTGGAAAGCCATCTTCAGGAGAAACTAACAC